AAACCTGGAGGCTGAAACTCGCTGGCGACTCCATGGTAGAGAGGTGTGGCAGTCTGCCGGCACAAAGATGACAGCCGTGGAAACCCTCTGGGGCAGCTCCAGGCTGTCCTGCGGGTTCACTATGAGTCAGATCATCCACTTGCTAGCAGGGAGCTTGGTCTATGCTTCTACACCCTCTACCTGTGGCCCAGAGGCTGCTCCTTCTTGCATGGTCCATGCTTGTGGACAAGTGGGTCCCTGCTTATGCAAAGGACAGCTTTTCTGGGCCAGAAGAGCTCTCTACTAACTCCTAGATTTTATGAAAATGCAGACACTCCTCTGTGAGGCTCCCACTGGAGAACAGAGAACACAAGTGCAAGATGGGGTAGGGAGTGCTTCCTGAGAGCAGGCTATGGGGAGGTCGAAAGCCCTGAGAGTGCAGGAGGGCAGTGTCCAGAGAGGAAAGCAGTAAAGAAATAATTAAACATGGTGTGTTAGTCTGGGTTGACTAGAGAAACAAAATCCAGAGACACTCATATATGTATAAGAGCAATTTTACTTTAAGAAAACCTCCCAGCCCGGTCCAGATCAAGTACATAAGATCATATGACCACATAGGTTGACACTGGTCCATAAATTCCTCATTAGACTCATGCAGCCATGCAATGATGCTGAATGCAGGAAGAGCAGAGACCAGTGGGTGGAAAGTCTTGTGGATCCAGTGGTGGTGGAAGCATTTCAAGGCTGGCATGGGTCTCCATGGAGCTTGTCCAGCTCCAGGGCTCTGGCTCCATCAGGGTAGCTCCATGTGACTTGTCACCAGGAATACAAAGCAAAGTGTGTGTGTGTCCCACCTCCAGGGAGGAAGACAGTTGTTCCCAGAATCCTCAGGAAAAGACCATGCCCACACAGAGGCCTCATTGGCGGTGACCTGATTGACAGACTAGACTCCACCCTTTCTCAAGTTGACAGGAAATTATGTAACTGCCACACATACGTAAGTGTGAACACTGAAGATTGACACTGATCTGTTCCACCTTCGTGGTTTCCTTTCATCCCCTCTCAGCTTTTCACTTGCTCTCTTTCTCTCTCTCACTTTTTGCCCCATCTTAAATAAATGCTCCCTTTCCCTCCACATGTTAGTGCAGGTGTGTTACTCAGAGATGAAATGTTTTCCAGGTGCTTGTTATGTGGGCAAGGTGTTAACTGATAGACAACTCAATGGTTATAGACCCAAAACTGGAGTGCTGTGGTTTTCTCTTTCCAACAACACTTTGCCAAAAGGAACCCTTTTCTGTGGATTATGAAACTAACACAGACACAAGATTCTCCTTCAATCTGGACAGACGTCTAATGGGGCACCATGCCGCCAAAGCTTCTTGCCGTAATGGAGTCTTAATTTCTCACATTCTCTCTCTTTTTCAAGTGGATTATCATCCCTCCTTTTCACCCTTCCTTCCTTCCTTCCTTCCTTCCTTCCTTCCTTCCTTCCTTCCTTCTTTCCTGCCTTCCTGCCTTTCCCTCCTTTCTCTCTCTTCCTTCCTTTCTTCTTCTGGAAATCAAGAAAGTGGCTCCCAGCCAGCCCTGGGCAACATGGTGGCCTGGGTGAAGTGATGACAGGTACTTGCCACATTCCCTCTTTCCTTACTGTGCCCAGGTGCTGGGTGGCATCGTTATGACAAGGCCATCAACAAGATGCAAAGGCTGCTTGGCAGCAGTTGTAAAATGATCCCATTAAGCACTGTGGTAAACGAAACCACGCCAAACTCGCCATCATCGAGTAGATGCTGACTCCTAGCGACCCTATCAGGTTGGGTAGAACTGCCCCTGTGACTTTTGGAGACTTGCTACTGTTTAGGGATTAGAAAGCTGTCTGTCTCCCCTTGGAGCTGCTTGTGCTTTTGAGCTGCAGCTTTGCAGATTGCAGTTCAACTCATAATCACGCTGAGATCAGGGCTCCGGGGGCAAGGTACAGTGACTAATAAATAGCTCCATGTGGGTCTTAGTTACTTAGTGCTACCATGGCAACAGAGGAGAACATATCGAGCGAGTGGTTTTATAAAGCAGGCATTTGCTGGCTCACAGTTCTGGAGGCTAAAAGTCCAAATCAGGGTCTCAGTCCAGAACAGTTGTGTCTCTTCAGTCTGGGGTCCTCTCCTCTTTTGGGGAGCTGCTGCTGATCTCTGGTGACTCCTTGCTGGCAGATGCATCCTCACGTGGCTTCTCTTGTCCCCCATGTGGTCTCTGTCTATTCTTTTTACCAGAAACCACGCAGAAGTAATTGAGTTTAGGACCCATCCTATTTAGTGATGACCTCCTTAACGTCACAGATTTAACCCACTCTTCTAGAGCAGGGTGATATTCCCAGGTACAGGGATTAGGACTAACACATTTCTTCTGGAGGGGCACAGTTCAATCCATGTAAGTTTCATTTTAGTTTTGAAAGATAATTCCTGAAGTTCATTCTTTATGTCAACTTCAGTGTATTCTCTTAGCTTCTCAAATTTTGTTGGTCTCAGGATCCCTTAAAAAATTATAGGGGATTTCAGACACTTTAAAAAATATGGGGGGGGGTTATATCAATTAATATTTTGTGTTAGAAGTTGAAATTGAGCAACATTTAAGACCTAATACTTAGTCGGGCACATCCAGGGCTGCTAGAAATACATCTACTGTACCCTTGGAGAGAAGAATGGCGAAGACTGGAACTCGCCGTGATTACAGAGGCGCCCTAGTAGCACAGGAGATGAAGCATTGGGCTGCTAACCAAGAGGACTCCGTGGGGCCGCTCTGTCCTGTCCTGTGTGTCAGAATCAACCCTCAAAGAAAGCATTTTTATAAGTGATGATCATGATTACAGAAACAGTTTTTACTTTGCACATGTCCTGAGAAGGGCACAAGGACCCCTGAAGCCTCAGAACACACAATCAGACCCCCGCTTCACTTATTCATTAAAAAGATTAAAACCCTTTTATTGTGAATTAGATGGACGTTTACAGAGCTGATCGCAGTTTCAACACTTCAACCATTCACGCACACCATGGTCCCACTCATCCCTGGCAATTTCCTCATTGCTCTTCCCACTCCCTCCCCTGCTTCCTGTTTGCATTCCACCTTCTTTCCCGACCCTCTGGACTTTGTCCTTCCAGAAATCCTGCCCTTTTCACGCACATGGTTGATTAGTCTAATAAGGGTTCAATTCCAGACCTGATACCACATTCTGAGTTCTGTTCCACCTTTTTCTCCCACTCGAACCAGGCACTTCTGATGTGATCCTGTTCAGAGCAGTAGGGATTAGTAGCTGGACACCATCTGGTTCTGGTCTCAAGGTTGTATGTTTGCCTGTAGACCTCTGCATTAGATCTTCAGTGATTATTTACTGAGTTCTTGATGCTCAATTTTCAGGAATGGTGGCAGGGTGGTGTGAAAGCACTGAGGGGTTTTCGTAGTGCTCAGGAATCCATATTTTATGTGGTCACTACAATACCTGTGCATAGGCATTTCTGTGTGCCTGAAAAATGGATTCCTTTAATGAGCCCTGGTGGTATAGTGGTAACACATTGGGTTATTAACAGCAAGGTCAACCACTCAAAGCCACCAGCTCTGCCCGAGAAAGAAGAGTCTTCCTGTTCTCATAAAGAGTTACACTCGCAGGGGCCGTACTGCCCTGTCCTACAGGGTCACCATGAGTCTGCTTCAACTCAATGGCAGTCAGTTCGGTGTTTGTTTTTAAATGAAAATGATTTGGCATGTTCTATGTGGTCATCCCATTCTGAAGCTTGTTATTAGGTGGTTAAGTGCTGTTGAGTGGACTTAACTCATAATGACCTAGGGCGGAGTGGGACTGTCCCACGTTTTCTAGGCTGTCATTTTTCTTTTCAGACCATTTTATTAGGAGCTAATCCAGACATCACACCATTCCATAGTTCAATCATATCAAACAGTGTTGTACGACTACTACCAACATCAATTCCAAAATTGTTTCTTTATTCTTGAACTCCTTCACGTCAGCTCCCCCTTCCAGGAACTGGTATTCCAGTTGTCTCTATAGAGTCTCCGATCCTGGGCTTCATCTACCGAAATACATACAAACACACATAACAAAGAGTCAAGAAGGATACCAACAATGACAACATACAAAGAGATCAACCCCAAGATTTAAAAAAACAACAACACAGAAAATATTAAAAACCAGATCAAGCCCAAAATGTTTCAGAAGGGAGGTCAACTGACAAGGGCTTAACCATTCAAGTCAGATTTATCATTTTTATTTACTATAGTTGTCGCTCTGATACTCTCTGTCTGATTCCCATTCCTCAAAAAATTGATGAAGGCTTATTCCCTGGGTAGATCCTGCAAGCATATTTTAGGTTTCCATTGTCATCCAGAGCCTTCTTTCTGTACACCAGAATCGCAATTTACACTCTGATACTGTTCCCTCCTTTGGATGTGGATTATATAGTATAATCCTTGGATCACAGATGTTGGTGTGCTTCTTCTGTGGGGGCTTAGTTGACGTCTCATTTAGATGGCTGCTTGTTTGGAAACAAAGCAGACCATCAGGATTTCTGTTCCCAGCAGAGCCAATGGGTGAGTTCGAACCACTAAACTTTTGGTGAGCAACCAAGTGCTTAATTATAATTATCATCTGGAAATTCAGTACTGGAGGTCAATGTTTGAGTCAACTTGAGTCAGCAGCCCAGTGCTATTAAGGAAGAGTGTTTTGTGAAATTAATCTCTTTAGGATGGCTCCTGTAAGAAACACCAGGGAGTCTCTCAGTTGTGCATCTGACCGTGTGGTTGACCAGGTCAAACTTAGGGCAAGGTGTGTGAACTCATACATATTCTTTTGTAATTTCTGCACCAGACTCTTCTTTGAACATTTCTTTTACAAAAATATGACCGTAGATGAAACAATGGTAAATAACATCATCAATCATTTTAGGGAAATTTCTGGGTAGCTTCCACCTTCACATCCAAGGATCTGATGACCTAAAACCAGTCACCCTCTTCTTTTTCAGATCACTTTGAGGCAGCTGTGCCACCCAATGAGAATCTGGTCACTACACCTGGAGAAAACATCACCCTTGCTTGTCAGCACCAGAGTAGGCAGCCCATGCAACTCGTGATGTGGGAAAAGATCCAGCCCCATCAGATCGATCGCCTTGTGATCTGCAACTTGTCCCAAGGAAAAAGCTACATTTCAAACCATCAGAGACAAATACTGACCAGCTGCAGCCAGGGAATGAGAAGGAGCCTCCTTGTCATCCCCCACGTAGATGCCTCCGATTCGGGACTGTATCGGTGCTGCTTCAGGAACAGCACAGGGGAGGAGGACACCTTTGTGGTTCAGCTGACCGTGGCCCATGGTGAGTGGAGCATGGAGGTAGCCCAGCATCAGAAGGAGGAAGGTCACCACTGATCTGGGGTGTCTGTTGTCTTCTCTCATTGGATACATGCGACTTCTTTGTTCAAAACTTTTCTTTCAGTAGTTGAGTCAAGGTAGGTTGACAGTCATTGCATTTTAGTATTTACTATTTCTTTATCTGGCTCATCTGTAAACCACCAAGCTTAAACCCATTGCCCTTGAGTTGATTCCCAGTCATAGTGACCCTATGCGACAGAGTAGAACTTCCCATAAAGTTTACTTGGCTATAGTCTCTCTTCTCTCTTCCCTCCTCTTCCTGCCCCTCCACCCCCAGCCCTCTGGTTAGAACATACCCCACAGAATGTCCACCAATTTTGCTGTTCCTACATGAACAATTCCACACCATCGATTATCTTCTTAGTTGGACGGTCACTTTCATCATCCTTCTCTGAGTTGGTTCCTCCCCCATTAAAATAAGCTTGCTGCACCCTGAGGCACCTATCTAACCTTTCCAGTTGCTGTTGTCACTTTGATCCCATAGAAATTGTTCTTAAAGAGTGTCTTGGTCAAGGCAGACATTTGTGACTAGTTAAAGCTAAACTGAGTTTAAGAAGATTTTGGTTTTAAGAAAACTTTAGGAGATGTTCTCAGTGTAAGTCAGCTGTGATCTTTACAGAACAGATCTGTAGATCTTGCCTCCCACAGAGCCTACAGTTGGCTTTGGACTGCTGATCATTTTGGTTAATAGTCAAGCACTTAACCACTGGGCCAGCTGGGTTCTTGGCTTATGAATCATGGATTTAACAATAGTCAATTCTCCCCACTATTTTCTTGATGTGCAACATTGCCAATTAAAAAAAAAAACTCATTAAGTTAGAAAAATGCATGTTATCAACAGTCTATATTTGAGATATGCAACTGCTATCTCCCTAATTACATTGCATGACTGGATCTTATCT